CGGCCTCAGGCCCAATCATTTATCACATGTCATATAATATCAATGAAGTTTCATCTTTTCCAATCAATTCATAATGTTGGCACCAATCACTGTTCATTGTTCAAGATACGCAAAAAAGAGTATAAGTGTACTATATTACTACTCACAGTGCATTTGGTTTTGTGGCGTTGCCTCCGGCACACGACCTACACCAAACATGTCACATACACATTCGATAAATCATTTGTTTCAATTCGTACACTTTTCTTTAATTTCTCTCAAGTGTTCAATGTTAATCTTCTCTACATGTGAACCACGTACAGAGCATGTTCCAAAGATGTACTTTAAACGACCCTAAATGTTCATGACTTAAATTAATGTTTCCTACAATAATTTCATATGTTTTTCATTGAACGTATCATGTTTAACTGTTTAAGATTTAAGGAAATAGCAAGAAGCGAAAGGAAACTAAGTTAGGGTAGGAAATGGCATGAAACAGTTAAGAGAAAATAAACAGCCTTCAAGCATATCTATTTTTGTACTTATAATTTGGATATGAGACCATCACCATTAGAAACTAGACTTCGAGGGCTTAAATTTACCCTCAAGAATCACTTAAAACGGAGTCCGGATGAAGGAGATATGCATTTTTGAAGTTGGGCTAAAACAGGGGTTCCGCACATACGGAATTCTTCACCACTCGTGCGGCCCAAATCCGCTCGAGCATAAACACCGGCCGCTCGAGCACCTAAGGAGCAGAATGAAAACCTTTTTTTTCTTCAAGTTCTACTCGTGCGCTGCCCGTGGCCGCTCGTGTGGTCTAGGCAAAATCAGACAGTCCGAAAATGGTTCAAAGATGCAAACTTCCTAAATTCATTTCCAAGCCCAAATTCATGTAAAAACAACTCAAAAACATGATATATAAGTATGATACAAGTGTAATTCCACATTAAACGTATCAACCTTGCATCAACAACAAATTCATGGACTCATCTCTTTCCCATATTCATACATTTCATAAACAAATTCAAAATACATGATCCATAAGCAATCTTTCAACAAATCTTGTTTTCATGAATTATCTAGGGTTTGTTTCATAGGTCAATCACAAGAGTGAACTTAAATCAAACAAAGATGGAAAGATTAGGATTCAATTTCATGCCTTTAGCTTAAGCCACCACACAACTCAAAACCCTAGCTTAAAATTCCTAATTTCTTCATGATTTCAAGACAAAGATGAGTTAGAAACAAAATTTGTATGTATACCTTAACTCAAATCTATGGTTTGCCCCTTGATTCGCTTCAAATCCCTAGCTTTCTTCTCTTCTGCTCTCTCTAACTCACACTTTGAGCTCTCTTTCAACAAAATAAAGAACAAAAAAGCTAAACACATACACTTAACTCAAAAATCTTAATTTATTCATTACGAATCATAATTTTTCAAAATCTCACCAAAGGCTCTAAAAATCACGCTAATCATAGCTATGAAGTCGGTTTTTGTTTATCGTGCCTTTACGGCCTTGAATTTTAGTTCAAAGTTTCAATTACAACAAGTAATCCTACTTTCAACAGATATTTTTTCAAATTCACATATTTCCCATACTCAAACTTGCAAATTCATATCAAACACATAATCGCATGTATAATTAAGTATAGTACGGGTTGGGTTATCACAGCCTTCCCTTCTTTAGGAAGTTTAGTCCTCCAAACTTGTTTACCTCAAGTTGAAAACAATTTCGGGTATTGTTGCCGTATTTCTTCTTCCCGTTCCCAAATGGCTTCGTTCTCATGATGTTCCCTCTATTCCATTTTTACCATTGGGATAATCTTGTTCCGTAGTTGCTTAACTTGTCAATCAAGGATGCGAAGGGGTTTCTCTTCATAAACCATGTCGTCATCTAACACAATTTGATAATAGTCAATAACATGAGAAGGGTCCCGAATGTAGCCTCGTACCATTGATACGTGAACACACATTGTGCACTTGCTCGATGCCCAGCGGTAAAGCAATTCGATAAGCAACCGGACCCAATCTTTCCAGAATCTGAAACAGCCCTATATACCGTGGTGATAATTTCCCTTTCTTTCCAAATCTTGTGTGCCTTTTCGTTTGAGTGACTTTGACAAAAACATGATCCCCAACTTCAAACTCTAAGTCTCTCCTTCTTTGATCCGCATAGCTCTTTTGTCGGCTTTGAGCAGTTTTTAATCTCTGTTGGATGACTTGAATGTTTTCCGTAGTAACTTGCATAATTTCAGGCCCAATCAACGACCTATCCCCAACCTCGGTCCAACAAACTGGAGTTTGACATCTTTTCCCATACAAGGCTTCATATGGTGCCATTCCAATACTGGAGTGGAAACTGTTGTTATAGGCAAATTCTGCCAAAGGTAAATGAGCCTTCCAACTTTCACGGAAATCCAAAACACACATTCGGAACATGTCCTCCAACGTCTGTATAGTTTTTTCAGATTTCCATCGGTTTGTGGATGAAATGCGGTACTGAACCTCAACTCTGTCCCCAATGCTTTTTGTAAGCTTTGCCAAAATCTTGACACAAACTTAGAATCTCTATCCGACACAATGGAAACCGGAACACCATGCAATCGAATAATCTCTACAATGCATACCGTAGCAAGTTTATCAGCACTATAGACAGTTTCCACAGGCAAAAAATAAGCAGAATTAGTCAATCTATCTATAATAACCCATATAGAATCCATACCTCGGGGTGTTCGGGGTAAGCCCACAATAAAATCCATAGTTATATGTTCCCACTTCCATTCCGGAATAGGGAGAGGTCAGAGTAACCCTGTCGATCTTTGGTTCTCCGCTTTTATTTACTGACATTGAAGGCACCTCAAAATGAACTATGCAATTTTTCTTTTTATGTTGGGCCACCAAAAAGCTTGCTTGAGATCTTGGTACATTTTGGTATTTCCGGGATGCATAGCAAATCTAGATTTGTAAGCTTCTTCCAAAACCCTTCCTTTAATGTCGGGGATGTTAGGATCACACAATCTTCCTTTGAATTTCAACACTTGAGCTTCCAAGGAAAACCCCGGTCTCGGTTTTGCTTCTATCTCATCATGTATTTTCTTGAGAAATTCATCCTCCAATTGCCTTTGTTTGATTTCCTTAATAATAGCTGGTTGTGCAGCCATTGTGGCTAACATTCTATCTCGTTCATGTAGCACAATTTCCATCTCCATTATTTCCAAGTCAAGTAATAGTTCATTCTGCTCTGTAAGTACACATGCTAAGTTTCTTGTTAACTTACTACTAAGAGCATCCGCTACCGTGTTGGCTTTGCCGGAATGATAATGAATCTGCAAGTCATAATCCTTGATGAGTTTTAACCACCGCCTTTGACGCATATTAAGCTCCGTTTGCGTAAAAAAATACTTGAGGCTCTTGTGGTCAGTGTACACTTCACATGTTGCTCCATAAAGATAATGCCACCAAATCTTCAATACAAACACCACAGCAGCTAATTCCAAATCATACGTAGGGTAATTCTTTTCATGTGACTTCAATTGTCAAGATACATACGCAATCACTCTTCCATTCTGCATAAGTACAGACCCCAAACCCTTATGAAAAGTATTACTATAGATCACAAACCCTTCTGTACCTGATGGTAAGGCAAGAACTGGTGCTGTTGTGAGTCTTGTCTTTAATTCTTGGAAGACGGACTCCCTCTGTTCTATCCACTCGAATGGAACACCTTTTCGGGTTAACTGGGTGAGCGACACTGCAATCTCGGAGAAATCTTTAACAAATCTTCGATAGTAACCCGCTAAACCCATAAAACTGCGTACTTCTGTAACATTGGTAGAAGTAGGGCAATTCACAATAGTTTCTATCTTTTGCAGATCGACAGACACACCATCTTTGCTAATTACATGTCCCAAAAACACAACTTCATTCAACCAAAATTCACACTTCTTCAATTTAGCATATAACTTCTTGTCCCTAAGTGTTTGAAGAATTAATCTCAAATGCCTTTCATGATCCTCACTACTCTTCGAATAATTAAGAAGTCATCAATGAATACCACCACAAACTCATCCAAGTACGATTTGAAAACTCGATTTATTAAATCCATAAAAGCTGCCGGTGCATTTGTAACCCCAAATGGCATAACTAAAAATTTGTAATGGCCTTACCTGGTTCGAAAGGTGGTCTTCTCAATATCCTCTGTTTTGACTTTCAACTGATGGTACCCGGATCTCAAGTTGATCTTTGAAAACACTTGTGCCCCCTGTAATTGGTCAAACAAATCATCAATCCATGGTAAAGGATACTTGTTCTTCACCGTTACCTTATTAAGTTCTCGGTAATCAATACACAACCGAAGGGTCCCATCTTTCTTTTTCACAAACAAAACGGGGTGCGCTTCATGGCGATGTACTCGATTGCATGAACCCTTTGTCAAGCAATTCTTGCAGCTGTATTTTTAATTCCTTCATTTCTGCCGGAGACAGTCTGTACGGAGACTTGGAAATAGGTTGAGTACCCGGTACAATATCAATAACAAATTCAATCTCACGATCTATCAAGTCCCCTAGCAATTCTTCTGGAAATACATCCGGAAACTCACTAACAATCTGAATATTTTCAACATCCACCTCAGTTGTCTCTGCATCCAAAATACTACACAAATAACCCCTACAACCTTTCTGAAGTAGTTTACAAGCTTTCATAGCCGATATCAAATAAGGTGAAGAGACCACTCCATGTCCCACAAAAGTAAATTCTTCTTGACCCGGTGGGCGGAAAACAACTTGTTTGGACACACAGTCAATGGTTGCATGATACTTAGCTAACCAATTCATTTTCAAAATTACATCAAAGTGTACCATGTCAAGAGGCATCAAATTAGCACATAATGAAAAGTAAAAGCTCACATACCGGATACATAGAAGCACAAAACATATAATCCCTAGATGGAAGAGACACACATAACACATAATTCAAGGGTTCTGTAGATCTATTCAAATTAGGAGCAAAGGTTTTTTTAAACAAATGAATGAGTGGAACTCGAATCAAGTAGCACATGAGCAAGTTGGCCATTGATGGAAAGCGTACTTGAAACCACAGTATCTAAATTTTGGACGTCACCTGGAACAAGAGCAAAGACTCTTCCTTGCCTAACATTTTCTTGAGAAGTAGTAGGCCTTGTTGGGGTCTTTGTTGCAGGAGTGGAACCGGCTGAACTAGCAGTTGGTCTATTCCCTTTTTGTTGCCCAAATATAAGACAATCTCTCATCATATGTCTTGTCTTCCTACACTTAAAGCAAGCTCTTGATGCTCGATGGCAAACCCCTCGATGCTTTTTCCCACACTCCAGGCAAGTTGATGGTGAATCCTGGTTAAACCCCGTAGTGTTGGAAGTTCCCAAATTTTGCTTCTTATTTTGTGAGGACGTTAACCTTTTGTGCATATTGGAACCCTGCATTTTGCCTTTCCAATCCGAGTACCGGTTGCGACTGGCTTGGTTACCTTCCGTTATGATGGCCTTATCCAATACATCCACATATTTCTGTACCTGCAATACATTGATCTTCTCAAGAATGGAGTCTGGCAAACCTCTCTCAAATTTCCTCGCCTTCTTATAGTCTATATCGACTATGTATGGTGCGAAACGGGCTAGTTTGGTAAATTGTGCCTCATACTCCACTACAATTTTGCTCCCTTGCTTCAAGTTTTCAAACTCCGACACCTTCCTGTCATGGATACTCTGTGGGAAGTACTTCTCAGAGAAAATCTCCAAGAATTGAGCACAATTCATCTATTGATGTTCTCCTCGAATAAGCATCCACCAGCGGTGCGCCTCATCTTCTAATGTAAAGGCAGCTAGCAAGACTTTCTGTGCCTCCGTGCATGGAAAGACTTCAAACAATTTCTTGATACCAAGCACCCATGCCTCCACCTTTAGTGGATCAATTCCTCATTTGAACGATGACGGTTTCACCTTCTTAAATTCCTTTATGAGAGCAATGGTTTGGTCATCAGCTTGATGGTCTTGCACTATAGGCGAGGGCACGGGCATTGGTGGCGGTGGTGGTTGTTGTTGCTGTTGTTATCGTTGTCTAAAAGCCTCAACCATTTCCACCATCATTGCTTCCATCCTATCAAGTCGTACGGAGGTTGAATCCTCCCCATTTTCTGCTCTTGTTCTCACCATGATCTAAGGAACATGCATTATAACTTTCAAAGATAATATGCATATAAGTCACATATACAAATGTACATTTCCATGTCATACCTGATGTGAATGCATTATGGATGCAACTTAAACCTTTTCTAGACTTCTTGTTGCTCGTATGGACTCGTGTGTGAGATATTAACTTGTGCTCTGATACCACTCTGTCATGACCCGAACCCGCCCATAAAAGTTTGGGTCATAATTGGCCAGTAATCCGTAGATTACCGAAGGCCTCAAACGATTATGCAGAATATTTATGTTAATGGGGCCATAAATAGAAGCATATATTAAAGAGAAGTCCATTGAACTGTGCCAATCATGAGCAAAATCATAGAGTTAACCACATAACACAATAATACATATACATACTCATCAAAAATATAAGAGCCAGAGGAAAATTGTACATAATGTTTACAACCCAAGACCATGAAAGCCAAAACATAATAAGGTCAAAGTGTGGTGTGAGTCAAGACAAAACTTCGTCTCGGAGGCATGACTCGATTGGGTCGCAAAAGGCTCCTGAAGCTGACTTTAGGGGTGTGCTCCATGCTGCTAATCACCTACATGTGCATACATGAAATTGGGTGAGCGAAGCTCAATTGTAATAATACAATAAAGAAGTGTAAGTAGATGATCATAAGATTCTCACAATATCCATAATCATATAAACCAAGCGGCCTCGGGCCCAATCATATAACAAGCGGCCTTGGGCCCAATCATTTATCAAGCGGCCTCAGGGCCAAATCATTTAACAAGCGGTTTCAGGCCCAATCATTTAACAAGCAGCCTCAGGCCCAATCATTTAGCACATGTCATATAATATCAATAAAGTTTCATCTTTTCTAATCAATTCATAATGTTGACACTAATCACCGTTCATGGTTCAAGATACGCAACAAAAAGTATAAGTGTACTATATTACTACTAACAGTGCATTTGGTCTTCCGGCGTTGCCTCCGGCACATGACCTACACCAAACATGTCACATACACATTTGATAAATCATTTTTTTTTAATTTGTACACTTTTCTTTAATTTCTCTCAATTGTTCAATGCTAATCTTCTCCACATGTCAATCACGTACCAAGTATGTTCCAAAGATGTACTTTAAACGGCCATAAATGTTCATGACCTAAATTAATGTTTCCTACAATAATTTCATATGTTTTTCATTGAACATATCATGTTTACTTATTTAAGATTTAAGGAAATAGTAAAAAGCGAAAAGAAACTAAGTTAGGGTAAGAAATGGCATGAAATGGTTAAAAGAAAATAAACAACCTTCAAGCATATCTATTTTTGTACTTAGAATTTGGATGTGATACCATCACCATTAGAAACTAGACTTCAAGGGCTTGAATTTAGGCTCAAGAATCACTTAAAACGGAGTCTGAATGAAAGAGATATGCCTTTTTGAAGTTGGGCTAAAACAGGGGTTCCGCACGTATGAAAGTCTTCACCGCTCATGCGGCCCAAATCCGCTCGAACAGAAACATCGGCCGCTCGAGAGCCCAAGGAGCAGAATGAAAACCCCTTTTTTCTTCATGTTCTGCTCATGCGCTAACCGTGGCCGCTTGTGCGGTCTGGGCAAAATCAAACAGTCTGAAAATGGTTCAAAAATGCAAACTTCCTAAATTCATTTCCAAGCCCAAATTCATGTAAAAACAACTCAAAAACATGATATATGAGTATGATACAAGTGTAATTCCACATTAAACATATCAATCTTGCATCAACAACAAATTCATGGACTCATCTCTTTCCCATATTCATACATTTCATAAACAAATTCAAAATACATGATCCATGAGCAATCTTTCAACAAATCTTGTTTTCATGAATTATCTAGGATTTGTTTCATGGTTCTATCACAAGAGTGAACTTAAATCAAACAAAGATGGAGAGATTAGGGTTCAATTTCATGCCTTTAGCTCAAGCCACCATACAACTCAAAACCCTAGCTCAAAATTCCTAATTTTTTCATGATTTCAAGTCAAAGATAAGTTAGAAACAAAGTTTGTAAGTAAATTTCCATGCCTTAACTCTAATCTATGGTTTGCCCCTTGATTCCCTTCAAATCCCTAGCTTTCTCCTCTTCCTCTCTCTCTAACTCACACTTTGAGCTCTCTTCCAACAAAATGAAGAACAAAAAGACTAAACATATACACTTAACTCAAAAATCTTAATTTATTCATTACGAATCATAATTTTTCAAAATCTCACCAAAGGCTCTAAAAATCATGGTAATCATAGCTATGAAGTCAGTTTTTGTTTATTGCACTTCTACGGCCTTTAATTTCTGTTCAAAGTTTTAATTGCAACAGGTAATCCTAATTTCAACAGATATTTTTTCAAATTCACATAATTCTCATACTCAAACTTGCAAATTCATATCAAACACATAATCACATATATAATTAAGCATAGTACGGGTTGGGTTATCACAATAAATGAATGGGATGTACCCCGTATCAATCAACAAATTAGCAACGGAATTGCAAAACAAAAAAATACCTCTCACTACTGAAAGAGTTGGTACAAGTTCTGGCACGGTAATAGCATACACACGCCCTGTAGGTCTCTGCTTAACCTGCTCACCTCTCGGATACATTGACTGAGCTGAAGAGGCTCCCTAATTAGCCCTCGAGGTCTATGTTGACTGTGCCGATTGGTGGCTCTGTGTCTACCTTGAACCAGATGCACCAGGTGTGCCACCCAAATGTGGGCAAAACCTATTCATGTGCCCCACCTACCCACACTGATAAGCGGCTGGCCTCTCCCCTGACTTTGGCTCTGAGAACGAGCCGAAGACGATGCAAACCGTTGCCCTCCTCCTCTCTGCAGGCAAGCTGGAGACTTGTGGCCCAACTGGCCACAATTGTAACAAGTGAAATCTTCCTGACCACCTCTCCCAGAATCCGAACTCGATACTGGAAAAATGGACCTCGATTGAGCTTCATAGAACTGTTGTGGGTTAGAACCTCTCTACCTCTTACTGTCCCCTTGAATATCCTGACTTCTCCTAGAGCCCCTCATCCTCTCCTCCTCCATCTGCATCACAGTCTCAAAATGAGCCGCTACCTCCACAAGGTGTCCGTAATCTCTATTCATCGACCCGGCTACTTTAAACATTAGCCCAGTCCTCAACCTCTTCTCGAACTCTAAACAACGGCGTTCCTCATTCGCCACGAGTTCTGGTGCAAACCTTGACAAGCTAGTAAATATGGCCTCAAACTCAGCCACCAGAGTGTTCAACTGTACAAACTTGGAGAACTGATCTCTCAACTTCTCCCTGACAGTGGAAGGCAAAAACTTGTCTTGGAAGGCACTGACAAAAGCCTCCCAAGTCACCCTAATAGACCCACGCAGATACTTCAACCACTGACCCGCATCTCCCTTCAGCTGGAAGGATACTAAGATCACTCTCAGCTGGTCGTCCTCGATGCCAAGCATCTCGAACATTTTCACTATTTGCTCTAGCCACTTATCCGCCTTCAGTGGCTCATTGGGATCACCCAAAAACTCATCCAGATTCGACCGGAAAAACTCTCGTTTCAAGAAAGATGGCCCTGTCTCAGCTACTTGGGCCTGGACTTGATTCTCAGCCCTAAGAATATCCATGGATTCCCGTAACGCTCTGGCCATTTCGCGAGCTAAGGCGTCCATGGCCTGTTGACCAACTAGTTCGGCCACATTGGCCTGACCAACCCCTTCTTCTTATACCGAAATCTCATCCGGTAAAGGCACCTCATGCCTTCTAGGCTTACCACACCTACCACCACCACGTTTACGTCCTGACATCCTAATAAGGGTAACAAAAGAGATTAGCACATTTACACATGTGCCGAAGCTAACTCACTCACGTCCTAATACGAAGGACAATAGTAATTCACTCTACATAAGCACATAGTCATGTAAATACATATGAATTTCCTTTCTAGATAATCATCGTCCCGCGGTGGTTGCCAGAGTTCCAATTAAAAACAACAGTGATCAAATGCTCTTCTAACAGGACTCCTAGGAACCCGTAAACCCAATCAATATCTTTGAAATTAAACCCCATGCCCATATAATCACATAAGGGACATGACAAATATAAATAAGTTCCACATTTTTATTTGTTATAGATATAAACTTAAGGTACAAAGATATAAGAAGTATCAATAGATATGTTGGTGTTTTTTTTTTCCCCCTTACTTTTCTTCTTTTTTGTTTTTATGTATTTTATTTTGGCCCCCAAATTAACTTTATAAAAAAAAAACGTAGGTGTGTCCAAAAAATTTACAAGTCATGTGACGTGTCTAACATATGAACACATATATGGTCAATTTGTTTAAATTCGATACGTATTGAATACAAACACATCACCTATTTTGAAGTGCATATATTTCGTAAGCTAAACCAATCAAACCAAGGAAATTGGAAGAACATAAATATTGGTGTACATAAATTAAGTTCATGCATCACTTTTCCAAGGGATTTTTGATCCATTAGATTTTGCAAAGATCTTAGAAGTAAGATTGATAAACTTAAACAATAAGTTGACACTAACATTTTTATTAATAAATTTATTTATTCTTAAC